GCACCGCTGAGGCGGTTCTGCAGTGTCCGTGCTCTGGTGATGGATGTTTGGAGGGTGTCCCTGCGCCCCCGATGGGGCTCTGAGAGTGTCCCGGCCACGTTTTGGGGGTGTCCCTGCTCCGGTGCTGGAGCTTTAGGGCTGTCCCTGCCCCATTTGATGGAGTTCTGGGGGTGTCCCTACTCTGCTGATGTATTTAGGAGTGTCTCAGCTCACTGATTTTGGGGTGTCTCAGCCCCGCTGATGCTGTTCTGGGGTTGTTTGTGCCCCACTGATGGATTCTGGGGGTGTCCCTGTCCCCCTGATGTAGTTCTGGGGGCTGCACTGCTCCCCTCACGAGTCTGGGGGTGTCCCAGCCCCACTGACGATTTTGGGGGTGCCTCCCCCCGCTGATGCGGCTGTCCCCGCAGATGAGGATGACGTGCACAGGTGCGGGCGGTGCCAGGCAGAGTTCTCATCGCTGGAGGAGTTCGTGCAGCACAAGCTGCGCAAGGGCTGCCAACGCGGCCCTGAGCCCGGCCCTGCCGCAGGGCTGCTCGGCCCCGACCGGCACAAGGTGAGCAAGGGTGACACTCAGCTGGCTCAGTCGCTGATGCGGCTGTCCCCGCAGATGAGGATGACGTGCACAGGTGCGGGCGGTGCCAGGCAGAGTTCTCATCGCTGGAGGAGTTCGTGCAGCACAAGCTGCGCAAGGGCTGCCAACGCGGCCCTGAGCCCGGCCCTGCCGCAGGGCTGCTCGGCCCCGACCGGCACAAGGTGAGCAAGGGTGACACTCAGCTGGCTCAGTGAGGGCATGTCAGGGACCGGCACAAGGTGAGCAAGGGTGACACTCAGCTGGCTCAGTGAGGGCACAGTGTGTCAGGGACACTCAGCTGGGCTCAGGGAGGGCACAGTGTGTAAGGGACATTCAGCTGGGCTCAGGGAGAGCTCAGTGTGTCAGGAACACTCAGCTGGGCTCAGGGAGGGCTCAGTGTGTCAGGGACACTCAGCTGGGCTCAGGGAGAGCACAGCAGAACTCCCTACTCACACCTTCTCTGTCCCACCAGGTCGTCCCTGCCGTTGAGGAGTCCATCACTGTGGCTCACATTGTGGTGGAAGCATCTTCCATAGCAGAGGAGATCAGCAGTGCCTCAGCCATCGTAGGTGAGCTCTGGGATGCTGCCTTGGCACCTCTGAGGGATTTGGAAGCTGCTCCCTCCTGTGTGGGTTTGGGTTATGGGTGGATGTGTGGCAGCTTTCTGTCACTGGGTGTTAGTTCAGAGGTGGGAGAGACATCACTAGGCCACCTCTGCAGTTCTGCCCATGTTGGGATCATGGAATAAAACCATGGAATGGTTTGGGTTGGAAGGACCTTAAAGTCCATCCACTCCCACCCCCTGCTATGGGCAGGGACACCTTCCACTAGCCCAGGTTGCTCCAAGCCCCATCCAGCCTGGACTGGAACACTCCCAGGGGTGGAGCAGCCACAGCTGCTCTGGGCAACCTGTGCCAGTGCCTCAGCACCCTCACAGCCAGGAATTCCCTCCCAGTATCCTGTCTATCCCTGCCCTCTGGCAGTGGGAAGTCATTCCCCCTTGTCCTGACACTCTGTGCCCTTGTCCAAAGTCCCTCCTTCAGCTTAATTAATACAAATAATTAACAGAAATAAGATTGATAAATTAATACAAGTAATTAATCCAAATTAGATTTAAACATCCAGAGGTGCCCATTTCATACTGTAATAACAAGAACACTGCAGTTTTAAAGTACCTTTTCTCTTTCTCCTTGCACCAATTGAATCAGTAAATTGTGTGTTGGGTGAAGCTCTGTCCTGCAAGGCACCCAGCTGTCTCCCCTGCTGTTCCCAGGCAGTGGGCACATCAAAGAAGTCATTGTAGCAGGAGACCATGTGTTTGAGCCCCGCCGAGGCAATGGGGAGGTGAGTGAGGAGCAGGGCAGCCCCGAGGGGCAGGAACAGGACGTCTCCTCAGAGCTGATCAAGGTGAAGCTGCTGGTCAACAAGGAGGGCAGATATGTGTGTGAGCTCTGCCAGAAAACATTCAAAACTGTGAGTATTCCTCTGCTGTGTCTGGGTGAGGGAGTTGGTTGTTAGCTAAGAGATCTCAAGGCTCTTTGTCTCAAGACTAGGAGAGTCTTGAGGCTATTAAGTCTCAAACTCTTAGTCTTAAGAAGAATGAGAATGAGCTCTTCTACTGCCTCCTACACTCCCCACAGGGAAGTACTTCTCTCAGAAGGATCATTGTTCTTTCCAGCTGAAATGTAAAGTCCTTAATCTGGAACATCTTTTAAAGGGAATTCTTCCCCCAGGCCAGCATCCTCAAAGCTCACATGATCACTCACAGCAGCAGGAAGGACTATGAGTGCAAACTCTGTGGAACTTCCTTCAGGACAAAGGGCTCTCTGATCCGGCACCACCGGCGACACACTGGTAAGAGCTCTCTAGACTAAGAGTTCCTCACTGCTGGAGCTGTGTGTGGTTATCCGTGTGCCTTCCAGTGGAATTTATTGCTGCTTCCCAGCTTCTGCTGAGCTGAGCCTGTTGAGCTCCACACTATTTGGGGTGCTGGGAGGCAGTGGGATGTTCTGGATAAGCACAGCCTGGTTGCTGTGGAAAGCATTAACATTCTTCTAGCAGTCTCACAGAGCTGGTCCTGGCAGTGCTCACATTAATACTGGTGTCTTGATCTTGTCATTTCCAGATGAAAGACCTTACACATGCAAGAAATGTGGGAAAAGCTTCCGGGAATCAGGAGCTCTGACTCGGCACCTCAAATCCCTGACGCCCTGCACCGAGAAAATCCGCTTCAACGTGGCCAAGGAAATAGTCGTCAGCAAAGATGATCTGCCAACAGGTCAGTGATGCTGCCAACACCTACCTGGTGTCTGGCAAAGCCAAACTCTCCTGGCACTTGGAATATAAATTCCTTCTGGCACAAGTTGCCCAGAGCAGCTGTGGCTGCCCCATCCCTGGGAGTGTTCCAGGCCAGGTTGGATGGGGCTTGGAGCAACCTGGGCTAGTGGGAGGTGTCCCTGCCCATAGCAGGGAGTGGGACTGGATGGCCTTTAAGGTTGCTTCCAACCCAAACCAGTCTGGGATTCTCATTTGTGAAGACAACCTCTTCGCTGGGAGGCAGTGGGATGTTCTGGATAAGCACAGCCTGGTTGCTGTGGAAAGCATTAACATTCTTCTAGCAGTCTCACAGAGCTGGTCCTGGCAGTGCTCACATTAATACTGGTGTCTTGATCTTGTCATTTCCAGATGAAAGACCTTACACATGCAAGAAATGTGGGAAAAGCTTCCGGGAATCAGGAGCTCTGACTCGGCACCTCAAATCCCTGACGCCCTGCACCGAGAAAATCCGCTTCAACGTGGCCAAGGAAATAGTCGTCAGCAAAGATGATCTGCCAACAGGTCAGTGATGCTGCCAACACCTACCTGGTGTCTGGCAAAGCCAAACTCTCCTGGCACTTGGAATATAAATTCCTTCTGGCACAAGTTGCCCAGAGCAGCTGTGGCTGCCCCATCCCTGGGAGTGTTCCAGGCCAGGTTGGATGGGGCTTGGAGCAACCTGGGCTAGTGGGAGGTGTCCCTGCCCATAGCAGGGAGTGGGACTGGATGGCCTTTAAGGTTGCTTCCAACCCAAACCAGTCTGGGATTCTCATTTGTGAAGACAACCTCTTCTGTGGTATTCAGTTTATATCTTTTATACATGAAGAAGTGACTTCTATGGAGACTCTTACCCTGCAGCCTATGTAGCCAGGCGTGAACTCAAGAATGAGAACCTGGTACAAAGGTGGCTTTAGCAAGCACCTGTTCCAAGCCAGATTTCTGTCGAACACGGAATGGCGTGGCAATTCCCCAGGTGATTCCCTGTGCTGTGTCCCCTGAAGGCTCCTGTAGCTCCACCACAGACACTGTGTCATCTATAGCGAGCGAATCCCTTGAGGCCTCTCCTGTCATCCACCTCGTGACAGATGCCAAAGGCAATGTTCTCCATGAGGTCCATGTGCAGATGCAGGAGCTTCCTGTGGTGAATGCAAAACCCGTGGAGCAAGAGGTAAGTTTCATTTCCCTTTAAAACCCCCCAGAGAGAATGAGTGTCACAGCAGTGATGCTATAGAAAAGGGCAGACTGTGGCTTTGCTGTGCCAAACCTCCTGTTCATCGCTTCAGCAAGAGCATCCCGAGGAGCTTCCCTGCGAAGGGGAGGGCAACAGTGAGAACCTGCTGAGCCAGGCTGTGAGGAATTTGGAGATTGTAATCGAGAGAGTGGATGTAGAGGAGGGGCAGAAGTCGGATGAACCTGCGGCAGCTGCTCCAGTGGAACTTGCGAATGAAGTGGTGGCTGTGGAAGAGGAGCCCTGTGGGGAGCAGTGTGTTGAAGTGGAGCAAGCAGAGTCTGTATGTTTGTATTCTGTAATTAGATTAATTTTTTTTCCTTTCCCTTCCCTGTATTTGTTGTGGACAGCACTGTTAGCCTCACCCCCCATGTGTCCTCATGTGTCTCTCCCATGTCTGAGGCTTTGTGGCAATTCTTGTTGTTAGGTTTCTCACATGTGGTTTAAGTGAAGTGTTAGTGTACACTCATCAACAAGAGATCTCATTCGTATCAAAGCTGGAGTATTTAATTGAGATTTTGGTTTTCCTTACTGTACATACTAGTACAAAACATATTTAAGTGATCCCATTTCCTCTCCCACAGGCACCTGCAGAGAGACCCAACGGGTGCACACAACACGTTTGCTCTCACTGCAGTGAGACCTTCCGTGAAGCTGCTGCCCTGGAAACACACCTCAAAAGTCACACAGGTAAAGTTCTGCTTGTGCTGTTGTGTGATGTATGCCGAGGCTTACAGTGAGCTCAGCGTGCTGTGCTAGGTCTTTACTGCTGAGGTTGTCGTGGACTGACCACATGTGTTCTCTCTGTAGAGTTCAAACCTTTCAAGTGTGAGGAGTGTGGCAAGGAGTTCCCCAAGGGCTACTTGCTGAGGAAGCACCAGGAGGTGCACGTGAACGAGCGGCGGTTCCGCTGTGGGGAGTGTGGGAAGCTCTACAAGACCATTGCCCATGTGAAGGGACACCGTCGGGTTCACTCAGACGAGAGGCCCTACTCCTGCCCCAAGTGTGGCAAGCGCTACAAGACCAAGGTGTGCCTCCAGCCTGGCCTGCCCAGAGCCAGGAGAGGTTAGGAGTTTGCTTCTGAGAAAGGAAGTGCCAGCTCACCTGCCTCTTGTGTGATGCCCAGAGCACATGTGGCTGTCCCATCCCTGGGAGTGTTCCAGGCCAGGTTGGACAGGGCTTGGAGCAACCTGGTTGGTGGAACAAGATGGGCTTTAAGGTCCCTCCTAACCCAAATCAGTCTGTGATTCTGTGATCTGGAGCTCCAGGAAAGAGGTCTTGGTTTAGTTGGGAAAAGAAGGAGAATCTGGAGAAAAACTAAATCTTTCTAAAGAACCTGTTCCTTCATGTGTGAACAAATTTGTTCAACAATAAAATCAAGTACTTGTGTTCTTCATGGGAAGAATCACAGAATATGCTGAGTTGGAAGGGACCCACAAGGATCATTGAGTCCAACTCTTGGCCATCCCAACAATCCAAACGCAGTCCTCGATCTGTTGAGTTTTCCCCCAGAAGCTCAGGTCCTGCCTCCACCTGTTCCCCATGCCCTCACCATGCCTCCCCTTGCCTCCCTGTCGGTGCAGAACGCGCAGCAGGTGCATCTCCGCACGCACCTGGAGGACAAGCCCTTCGTGTGCCAGTACTGCGGCCGCGGGTTCCGGGAGAAAGGCTCCCTGGTGCGCCACATCCGCCACCACACCGGGGAGAAGCCCTTCAAGTGCTACAAGTGCGGCCGAGGCTTTGCGGAGCACGGCACGCTCAACAGGCACCTGCGCACCAAGGGTGAGCTGGGCTGGGCCGGGCTGCAGGGAGCTGGGGTGGTGCTGGGCAAGCTGCTCCTTGGCTGAGTGTGAGTGAGGCTTAGGGTGGATCTGATGACATCTGTCCAGGGCTGTTTGCGTATCTGCGTCTCAAGCACATCAGGAGATCAGCCTGGAGAGGAGAAGGTTGTGTGCAGAGCTCAGAGCCGCCTTGCAGTGTCTGAAAGAGCTACAAGAAAGCCAGAGAGGGACTGGAGTGCCAGGACAAGGGAGAATGG